TACCATTTGCAACGGCATGGATGGAACTGGAGAGCATTATGCTAAGTGAAATAAGCCAGTCAATGAAAGAAAAATACCACATGATCTCACTTATTCATGGATAATTGAGACCATTATATACTTTTGAACAATAATAGATACAGAGGCAGAGCTGCCTCAAACAGAGTGTCAAACTGCATCGGGAAGGCCGGGGAGGGTTCGGGGGCGGGAGGGAGGGGGGTAAGAGATCAACCAAAGGACTTGTATGCATGCATATAAGCATAACCAATGGACATAAGACAGTGGGGGATAGTGGAGGCTAGGGGACTTTCTAGGGCAGGGGGGGTGGAAATGGACACATATGTAATACCCTTTGTAATAAAAAATTTAAAAATAAATAAATAAATAAATAAATAAATGAAAAGGGGGCTTAGGACATATATGGTGATAAGAATGGCATAAGCAAAAACTCCCGGGAGGAAAGTTGGTTAGGTAAAGGAAAACTGATCATTTTGACAAGAATGAAGAATAGCAAGTTAAAGTCCAAACATTAATCAATCAGGCACAAGTATAGAAGTCTAGTTTAACACAAAGGCAAAGCTGGTTGTCTTAATATGGTTCAATACTATTTTTGTTGGGAGAGAAGGAAAGCAAATCTAGAATGAAATGAAAATGATTGTGAGTCCAAACTGAAGGTTAGGTGCTGGCTTCTTATGCTCTCTGTATCTCCAACTCCATCATTTTATTTTAAATAATGTGAGTCATATCATGTGTATATAGGTTAAAACATAGATATCTAATTCAGTAGGGTTAAAAAATGAGAGCGGAAGTAGATATCATAAATTGTTCTCAGGGCAAAGAGAAACACAGACACTATAGGAGACAGAATCTCCTACAGTGTGATTTTGAATTAGTCAGAATGTCTTAACAGAAACCCAGATTCAAAGTGATTAAAATGATAAAGAAATGTATCACATGTAATAAAGGGGAGCAGGCCTCTGAGCTGGTTGAGTAAGTAGCTCATGAATGTCATTGAGATTACAGATTCCATCTTGTCCTGGGTGTGTTGGTTTGCTGGGAGACTAGCTCCTCTCCTGGTAGCAAGGTAGCTGCAGCAGTTTCAAGGGAAATGGGATGTGCATGGCCAGGACTACAGATCTGGAGTAGAATCTGTCAGGGAATAAAACTCATCATCTGACTGCTCAGTGCAGTCAAATTATTCTTGCAGATAATTTGTATGTAGTGTTTTAAAAAATTTAATGAGCTGCTTATGTTTAAAAATCAGTCATATAATTTTATTTTTTTAAATCATATTTCTTAATTGGATTATCTTTAAGAATCCAAAGAATCCAAAGGTCTGGTAACTGTGCCTGTATGCCACTTAGCTAAAATGCACCAGAATGTATTAGACGGAGCATTCCAATTCTGACTTATCGGAGCTTCATCTTTATCTAAAATAGTACAACCTGTTCTTCTTTACTCAGCTTGCCAATGGAGCCTCTCATTAGGGACATTACTCCCAGAGATTTTATGACCCTTGTGGCATTTTTACACCCATAAACATGTCTACTGTAGGCATTTGTACAATGGTTCAAAAGAAATGAGGGCAAAGGCCACATTTAGCTTGAGGGTGTATCATTGCCAACTTTATTATTAATTAGCTGTGTGACCTTATCTACACTAATAAAAGAGAAAGATGCAAATTGACTGTACCTGTGTGACACCCACCAGCCAATCAGGAGTGAGTATGCAAATCAACCCAACAAAGCTGGTGGGTTAATTTGCGTACACAGGCACTGAGCAGCGGGGGCGGGACGCAGGCATTCTGCACCGTCCCAGCTTCTCTGGGCTTCTGGGCAGCATGGGTAGGCAGAAAGGTTCTGGCTGGAGCCAAGGCGGTGCTGGCAGCCGGAGGAAGCAAGGCCCATTCTTTTCTTTTTTTAAAATTTTTGTGCATTTTATTTTTTAAAATATATTTTTATTGATTTCAGAAAAGGGAGAGTGAGAGAGAGATAGAAACATCCATGATGAGAGAGAATCATGGATCGGCTGCCTCCTGCAAGTCCCCCACTGGGGATCATGCCCACAACCCGGGCATGTGCCCTTAACCGAAATTGAACCTGGGACCTTTCAGTTTACAGGCTGATACTCTATCCACTGAGCCAAACTGGCTAGGGCAGAAGGCCCATTCTTGCACGAATCTTTATGCATCAGGCCTCTAGTTAATTTATAATTTCTATAGCCATAAAGTTTAGCAATTGATACTATCCCTAACAGCAACATTACAAAGATAAATAGCTTCTTTTTTTTTTTAATCATCACCTAAGGATATTTTTTCCATTGCTTTTTAGAGAGTGGAAGGGAGGGAGGCAGGAGAGAGAAGGAGAGAGGAAGGGAGAGAGAAGGATAAGGAAGAAAAGAGAAACATCCATGTCTTACATTGGCTCATTGACTGGTTGCCTCCTGCACAAGGCCCGACTGGGGGCGAAGAGTGAACCTGCAACCCAGGTACATGCCCTTGATCAGGAATCAAACTCAAGACCCTTTGGTATGTGGGCTGATGCTTTACCAGTGAGCCACACCGGCCAGGGCATAAATAGCTGTTTAACTTCAAAGGAAGGAAGGATATGCATATAAATCCTCACTTGAGGATATGTTTTTATTTATTTTTTGAATGAGAGAGAGAGAGAGAGAGACAGAGAGGCATCAATGTGAGAGAGAAACATTGATTGGTTGCCTCCCCCCATGCATCTTGACTGGGGATTGAAACAACCTAGATATGTGCCCTGACTGGGAATTGAACCTGTAACCCTTTGGTGCACGGGTTGACACTCCAACCAACTAAGCAACCAAGCCAGGCCTGGAAGCATGTATTTTATTTATTTATTTTTTTGAGAGAAACATTGATCAGCTGCCTCCTGCACGCCCCCTACTGGGGATGTGCCCACAACCAAGGTACATGCCCTTGACTGGAATCGAACCTGGGACCCTTGAGTCCGCAGGCCAATGCTCTGTCCACTGAGCCAAACCGGCTAGGGCTAGAAGCATGTATTTTATACTCATACTTGTTTAATGAAAGAATTACTGACATATTTATGTTTATAAATATAGCCAAGAACCAAATAATTTTTTCTTTAAGTTTCATTTAAATATTAGTCATTCTTACCTTTTGTAAAGTCTTTAGCTCAAGGATAGTGTCTGTTGGTTGCACTCTTGAAATATATTTCTAGGGTAGCTATATTGCTTACTGGTTTTATCAACCAGCATTGATTAGGAAAAATTAAATAAAGTTTAAAAGGAACCTTAAAAATTGAATATTGTATTTGTAATATTTTCTACACTTATAATTGTTAGGGGAAAATAATGGCTTTCAACATAATAAAATTTCTTCAGAGAAAAAGAGAGAATATAAAGAACATCCATAATCAACTACCCAGGTGCCATATTGCTTCAGATTTTTTTTTTAAATCAATCATTACAGATGAAGCTCTCTGTGTACATGTATGTCTCCAACCCCACTTGGCATTGCATATACACAGAGATAATAACCAAACACTGAATTTGATGTTTAACATTCCTTTGCACATTTGAAACTTTTAAACCAAATGTGTATAAATCTATAAATATATTATTTGCATGTTTTACCATTTTATAATCATGGTATCATGCTATACATTTAACTTTTCTTCCTCCTCAACGGTGTTTTTGAGACTTATCTACTTTAATACATGATACTGGGGATCACTGGTTTTAAATAATTTATGTTATCCCACTATATGGAAGTATCACATTATTTTATTCTAGTCTCCTACTCCATTTAGGCTTTTTCTACTATCTGGGGTGCATACGAATAAAATTCTGCCTTACAACACACCACACAGTGTTGTTGCTGTGAGATGCAGCTCTATCTTGAATCATGAGTCAACATTTCTGTTGTGGAGCTGCTGTTGTGACTTATAACTGGACAGAGGGAATCACATGCTGACTGTAACTGCCAGATGCTTGAAAAGTAAAGACAGAGTTTGAAGGAATCCAAGCTATATAGAGGATGAATATTGATTCCCCTTTTCCCCAGAACATCAAAACACATTACTGTGGACTTGGATGCTTTTTCTCAGATGTCTGAGTTTAGCTCTATAAATAAAGGTTTCAGTGGAGTTTAGTAATTGGCTCCTGCATTGGTAATATGATCTTACCTTTGGATGAACATAAACAGGCAAAAGTCCAGGCTCATTTTTCTTTTTCAGGGTTTAAAAATGTGACCAATGCCAGATGTTGAACCAACATTAGATTTCACAGCATAAAGCCAACACAGCATAATTGGTTTAGAGCTCATACTTCAAACCATTGCTAATTCCCCCAATTAAAATGTCCAAATATGTATGGCATAATGAAATAGCAAACATCTCTTATCTAACCTTTGGTTTTAATTGATCCTGAAAGAGGTCTACTCTGACTGTTCTCTCATTGGTATTAAGTTTCAACCGCTCTGGAGTTCTACTGCCTATCTTCCCGAGTTCTCTTTGTAATCCATACTAGTCCCAGGGCTGCGAAGTCTTCTTCACTGAGTTGGATGATTTACTGGTCAAGGTAAGTCAAGTCATTTGATGGTAATAACCCCCAAGTTAAAATGACTTACGGTCAGGTGTCTCTCTCGTCATGCTGTCAGTGGCAGTTACCTTCAGCTTTGTGCCATCATCCTGGGGCCCAGTGAAGGACATCCTCTTTGTGGGACATGCTGTTCTTGCTGCAAAAGAAAAATATGACAGAACCAAGCAATTAAAGTTTACGCTCAGCAGTGGTATATATCACTTTCTTCCTCATTTCGTTGAACAAATGAAGGCATAAGGCCAACCCTGCCATTCAACAAGGTGGGGAGGTAAAATCCTACCAGTGGGAGGGACAAAATTATTTAGGGACAGTAATACAATCTACCACAGAGGCTGTTTTCATTCACAGACAGGTATGGTTTTGACTTTTGGATTATTTATAAAATAAATTTTTTTTAAAGTTTTGCTAATATACAAGTAAGACTTCCTTATCTCTGGGACAGGTGTTAGTTCAATTTAATGCTATGAATTTACAAAAAAAAACCCAACAAGCCCTAGCCAGTTTAGCCCAGTAGATAGAGCGTCGGCCTGAGGACTGAAGGGTCTCAGGTGTGATTCCAACCAAGGGCACATGCCCCGGTTGTGGGCTCGACCCCCAGTAGGGGGCATGCAGGAGGCAGCTGATCCATGATTCTCTCTCATCATTAATGTTTCTAACTCTCTTTCTCCCTCTCCCTTCCTCTCTGAAATCAATAAAGAATATATTAAAAAACACAAAAGCAAAAACACCACATCTAGAATTAAAATCACTTTGAAAAAATCAATAAATATCTGGAGGCTCTATGCATATAATTTTGATCTACGTATAAACAGTATTAACATAAACTGAGCAAAGGGGATCCCTCAAAAAAATTTCATGTATTTTATTTAAATATTTTTATAAATTAATTTCAGAAAGTAAGGGAGGAGAGATAGAAAAATCAGTGATGGCCGAAGCCGGTTTGGCTCAGTGGATAGAGCGTCGGCCTGCGGACTGAAAGGTCCCGGGTTCGATTCCGGTCAAGGGCATGTGCCTGGGTTGCGGGCACATCCCCAGTGGGGGATGTGCAGGAGGCGGCTGATCAATGTTTCTCTCTCATCGATGTTTCTCACTCTCTATCTCTCTCCATTCCTCTCTATGAAAAATCAATAAAATATATTTTAAAAAAAAGAAAAGAAAAGAAAAATCAGTGATGAAAGAATTAATGGGCTGCCTCCTGCACACCCCACACTGCAGTGATGAAAGAATTGATGGGCTGCCTCCTGCACACCCCACACTGGGGATCAAGCCCACACCCTGGGCAAATGCCCTGACTAGGAATCAAACTGTGACCTCTTGATTCAGAGGTCGATACTCAACCACTGAGCCACGTCAGCTGGGCATAGTTGGTATTTTAAATGAGAACATTCAAATAGTTTCTTCAAATTTGATAAACATTTCTCTCACCATTTTTGTGTAATGTCACAAGGGAACAGAGGTTTAATTTATATAGGTAGCAAATGAAATTTTTTTTTAGATTTAATGGTATATGACATATGTATTGGGGCAAGTTTTTTGTTGTTTGATTTTCGCTTGCAATTCTTCTTTCTTTAGTATTTTTAAAAAGTTATTAGTCAATAGCTGGTAACTGGGGCACTGAGCGCAGCTTTGCTTAATCTGACTGCTTTTGCAGCAGTCTGTATTTCAAGATACTTTGGAAATTCTTTCTAAAAATGAATTAAATAATCTCATTTTGAAAAGCTAGCTTCTTTTTAAATGGTATTTTATGACTAGAGTTTTTAAAACAATTCCTAGTTTGGCTTTTCAGTAATAGACCTGACAACAAATCACATTGCACAACAAAATGTATTCACTCAGAGAATGAGAGTAATTATTATCATTACTATTAATTATTATTGCCATTAATAATTATTATTATAGCTAACAGTGCTGCCTTTGTTCTAAGTGCTTTACATGTGTTGATTCATTTTACCTTCACAAGAATCCATGAGATAAGATACCAATATTATCCCCATTTTACAGAAGAGGGACTTAAAATACTTATTTTAATGCAAACCTAAATTCAGCTTTGGAAAAATAAGTCATGTTTGGCAGGGTTTATCAGTGAGGCTAGGAAGTTGGCCAATTAAAGCAGGAAACCAGCAGAAGAAAGGGAAGTGGCAGCAGAAGCTTGTGTAGAGGTTTCCCGAGCCTTACTCTCTTCTTTAAATAGAAGAATTGCAAACAAACAAATAAAAAACCTTAGGCAGTTCTTATGAGCTGTTAGTCAAAAGAGAATTGTTTTCTATTTAGCTCTAGGTCAACAAATAGCCTTTTAGTTGTTATGAAGGGCAAGATCTGGAACTTACGTATAGGTTACATTGTGATTCTGAGACATTAGCCATTTTTTAATCTTCAAAAGAATAGAGAAGCTCAGGAACTGTGCTTCTGGTGAGAATAGACACAAAGTGGGTGCATTCCAACCTCTCCTGTGAGGGTGGACTGCCTTCCCAGTGGCTGTGAGACCACACCCATTGTAGGCAGCAAAGAGGAAGTCTGAGAGTAGCTCTGAGGACCCAGCCACTTGCTAGTCTGGAGAGGCCTTTGTACTTGTAGCGATCTTGGTGGGCCATTGCACGTGTAAAAAATGTTTTTATAGGGCTGTATTTTGTTTTATATGGTATGATTGAGGAGGTGAATAATTAACCTCATGGAAATAGTAATTAACTGCAGTTCATAGTTCCAAAGTTGTACTTGATTAAAAGACAATTAGTAAAGATTAAAAAAAAAACATTGTAGAGGAAGAAAAGAATCAAATGAAAGCACTGAGTCACATTTTTATTCTATTTATGGTCATTTCAATTTGCTGTCTCTAACTTTTTCATTGGTCTTCTCATAGGGGTTGAATTTCATCAGACTCTTCAGTTTTTCATGTTAGGAGTAATGCCTATTCTCACCAGTTTATCCTTGAAAGGAGGAACTCTAGAAAATAATCTATTACAAGGTTTGCTTTTTATGTTTAAGTATACTATAAAGTAGTTAAACCTTTAATCATTGGAAAGAATTTGCATAGAAAAATTAGAGAAACTAAGAGAAAAGAACAGGGAGGAAAATAATAACTCGATTTGTCAATAACTTGAAAGTGGTTGAAAGGAAGGCACCCACGAAACGGATTAAGCAAAGTTATACCTAAAAGATGGGAGAACACTCAGGTTTATGTCATTGATAAATCAGACGGGACAGGTTAGGCAGAGGTAGTAGTTATCGTTCTTACAAAATGTGGTGTTCCTTTTCATGAGTATGCTATTACTTTGATTCCTGTCAAATTTTAGTGACTGGTAACATGAAGTAGTAATAAAAGGCCTCTAAATAAACTGCAATTGCCTTAACATTTTCTTTTTTAAATGTGATTAAGTGCTTTACACAATAGCTCTTTCAACGTTTTTCTGGTTAAGGAGCAGATAGAGCCCTGGCTGGTTTTGCTCTGTGGTTAGAGGTCAGGCCCCTAGAGTGAAGGGGTGAGGTACCTCGATCCGGCCGGGATGGGGGTGCTTACAGGAGGCAACCACATGGATGTTTCTCTCTCTCTCTGTCTCTCCCTCCCTCCCTTCCTCTCTCTCTCAAATCAAAAGCATGCCCTCAGGTGAGGATTAGAAGGAAGTGACACCGGATAAGAGGGGTGAGAAGCTGCAAGATCAGGCGACACCGATGGCCGAGCATCACAGCTGGATACGGGGTCGGGGCATATGGCAGGCTCCATCCCCAGTGTAGGGTGTGCAGGAGGCAGAGGATCCATGATTCTCTCTCATCATTGCTGCTTCTATGTCTTTCTTGCTCTCTGAAATCAATAAAAGTATATTAAAAAATATGTACTTATCACTCAGGTGTGGATTAACAACAGCAACAAAAAAAAAGAGCAGATAGAACTTAAACATGGCAAGACCGTGACATGCCACACCCTGTAGGGACAGCCAGCTCTCCTAATTAAGAATCTGCTGCAATAGTGTAAGACTCATTAGCTTTCTATGGTAAACCTGGTGATCAGTTCATGACGCGCCTGACATACACCCTTCCTGTTTCGTAAAAATCACCCCACTAACCTTTTGGGGGAAATCTATATTTAAACCTACTTGTTCCAAGAAACCATCTTTGGCCTTGCCGGTGTGGCCCAGTGGGTACAGCGTCGACCTGCGTACAGAAGAGTCCCGGGTTCGAATGGGGTCAAGGGCACAGGCCCGGGTTGCGGGCTCCATCCCCAGTCGGGGGCGCGCAGGAGGCAGCCGATCCACGGTGCTCTCTCATCACTGAGGTTTCTCCATCTCCCTCTCCCTTCCTCTCTGAGATCAATAAAAAATATTAAAAAGTTCATCTTAAAAAAAACAACAACTCTAAAAATATGTTTTAGAGCGTTGAGCGGAGTGACTGCAGGCTCAGAGGGACACTCAGGGGTCACGACCCCGGCCGCCCCGCCGCAGGTCCAAAAGGGCAGGCGGCCCCGGTGGGACCCGAACTCGCAGGCTCCCATTGGGAAGGGACGAGGCGGCTTTTAACACAGAAAAGCATCTTTCTCTCGAGCTGCTGCCCATTAATGATTTTTGGAGATACGGGTGCACATTCTTCTTTTTTTTTTTAAGGCATTTGGGACCCGGAGAGCAGCCGCCTTCTGGGACTGCCCCTCGCCCTCCGCCCGGCCGTCCACATGGCCGCGCCGCACAACAGCGGACTGGACTCATTTTTTCCAAAACACTTCACATCTGGGCAGTCGCCAGCCATGGAAACTGCCAGCGTCTGGGAGAGGGACCAGGCTCGTCGGGGGCTGCCCTCGCGGGGCCGCCCCCCTCGGAGGGAGCC